ACATGTAATACTATAAATACTAATAAAACAAACGGGGCGGGGCACTTTGAGAGGGGCGAGAGACGTCCTAGGGAGTTTTGGTATAAAATTACATTGCATCAGCTCAAAATCTTCTTGAAATATCGCCCGGAAATGATAGTGTTACACACAGACAGAATGTATAAATTTACGACCTTGAACTTTGACCTTTTGACCTCAAAATAAATAGGGGTCTTCTTTAGGCCACAGGGAGTTGTTATGTAAAATTTCATTGCAATAGCTCAAATGGTTCTAGAGATATCGTGTGGAAACGAAAGTGTTTTAACATACAGAATTTGCATATTTATGACCTTGACCTTTGACCTTTTGACCTCAAAATCAATAGGGGTCTTCTTTAGTCCATAGGGAGTTGCTATGCTAAATTTCATTGCAAAAGCTCAAAGGGTTCTCGAGATATCGTGTGGAAACGAAAGCGTTACAGACAGACAGAAAGACGGACGGACGGACGGACGGACGGACAGACGGACGGACGGACAAACCCAAATTAATATCCCCCACTTTTCAAGCGGGGGACAATAATGTTCTCGCGAATAAAAAGTGATTTACAGTATTCCAATAACATAATTCATTTCCAATATTGTGTCCCCTCAATAATTTTGTTGGTAAATACATGAGTAAAGAAATCAAGGATTGTTATATCCCCTAAACAGATAGTTAAGTCTCTTTTTTTGGGGGGGGTGTCAAGAAATTTTTGTTTTGTGCCATCTGATCCCCCTTATGAAATTGCTTTCTACGGGCCTGAAAAAGAGAGCAAAGCACAAGAATTATATCATACAGTTATTCAAATAATGAAAATTCTTGTTCTTGAGAAATATTTATACATAGATTAGACTGTTTGAGCAAGATCTCTTTATTTAAAAAAAAGGCCGTAAAAAAAAAAGAAGTTAAATTCCAAATGAAGTCTTTGGAATTTATCTATTTTGGAAAATAAAAAGTTAAAAAAAAATAAGAACATTTAAAAAGTTTCGTGGTACTTATGCCCCTCCATAGTTTTGCACTAACAAAATTCAACAAACATGTAGGCTTTACATTTGTAGAGTTGTGATTGTCTGTGTGTTTTATTCAGAGCGCGGAAATATAAATTCTGGAAAAAAAAGTTTACAAGATACAAAGTACACACATTCATAATATAAAATCAGAGTCAACACAGTTGTATGTTCGGAATTACATACTTGGATGTTGGGATTTAAATACCTACTTACATATGTAGACTATGAAACTGATATGATTACAAGTTTGGATTAACAAACTTACATGTCTAGATTTACAAACTTATAAGTCTGGATTTTTGAACACGATTACCCTCCATATAAGAGGAGTAGCATTTTTAAAAAATCTCATAGAAATTTCTATTTTTAGTAACCATGGCAACACTGTTCATCGAAATCAAAAACCGATGCACTATATTATGTACCCGGTATCTTAGTGTAGCCTGCTTGCGTGACAAATTTTATTGAAATCAGACCAAAACTGTAGGAGGAGTAGCATTTTAAAGGAATTTTACTGAAATTTCTATTTTTAGTAACCATGGCAACATCATTCATCGAAATCAAAAACCAATGCACTAAATTATGTATCATAGTGTAGCCTATTTGTGTGCCAAGTAATATTGAAATCAGACCAAAACTGTCGGAAAAGTAACATTTTAAAGGAAGTTCACCGAAATTTCTAATTTTAGTGAACCACGGCAACACTGTTCATTGAAATCAAAAACCAATGCACTAAATTATGTATCTTAGTGTAGTCTACTTGTGTGACAAATTCTATTGAGCTCAGACCAAAATTGTATGAGGAGTAGCGTTTTAAAGGAATTTCTATTTTTAGTAACCATGGCAACACCGTTCATCAAATTCAAAAACAGATCATCAAAATGAAAAACAGATGTACTAAATTATGTATCTTAGTATATTTACATTTGCGAATGTTTTCCTTTATATAACACTACTGTCAATGCGTATCTATAACTGTATAAATACAGGTAGGGGGGTCAAGAGGTCATAGATGTGCAATGTAACTTCTCAGTGCCGCCGACGCGCATTCAGTGGATTACATACATGCCGTTGGGTTTGAAAAATAATGCATTTTACACGTTAAAAGTCACAATCAGGCAAATTTAAAGTATGAATAATACACAAATGTAAATATAAGTAATAAGGTATAATTTTAAAACATCTATCGGGCTATAAATACGGGTTGGTAAGAGATTAAATTCATCATAAAGCCCTTTGGGCTTTATGGAATTTAATCTCGTGACCACATTTATATCCCGACAGATGTTTTAAAATGATACCTTATTTCTTAAGTAATCTACTTGTGTGCCATGTTATATCGAAATCAGACCAAAACTGTAGGAGGAGTAGCATTTTGAAAAATTGTTTACAGACAGACGGACAGCTAGAGGTATGGACAGGCAGCTAGACATACGGACAACGAACATCTTACTATCGCATAAGCTCTTCTGGTCTCTGACCAGTAGAGCTATAAGGTCATATAAAATTAATCTTTAGATTCTCATCCTAATTTGCTAAAAAAATTGGGGCGGATGGGCAGATTTTATTTTTTTATAAATGTTAAAAGTATACATGCTATAACTTGCGCCAGTTTGAACAAGATTGGAGATTTATATATTTTGTTTATCAATAAAAGTTACGAAAGTACTGTAAATTACAACATTAAAATTAAACGCATTATAAAGTTATCAAATTATAATTATTTATATTCCTGCTAGGATAGAAATACAATACAAGTAGCTATTTTTAAATAAATCCATCATGTGACGACGTCGCTACTTTTAGATTGATAAACAAACATGGTGTGAAGAAAACAAGGTAGGCTGTTTGAGATACTACTCACTTTTGACGTGGATGGCAAGCGTCTTACTCTTAATGATATCTATATTTAAATGTAATCAGTAGCAACCATCTACTCTGTTATGACGCATATTAACCTTTTATTATAATAATTGTTGTCAAAATATGCAACATGCCTCGTCTGTGATTTCTCGTGGACATGCATGTCTATATATAGGCCTACTATTTACGCACATCCTTCATCAATATTCATGAAAAGACTGAATTCTTAATTGCCAGGTATTGCTTAATTGTTTTGTTATTACAACGACGTCTATAGTAAAATTTTGTGGAAAGTATTATTTTTCATTTACATTTCATGTGTTTCAAATCATTTATCATTTTGTTTCACACAAATTTCGGGGTTCTTATAGCGTGTAGGACTTTAAATTGTAAGTATCAATAGAACATGGACTCTTTGTACATTGTTGTACACTTTTTTTCATTATTTAAATGTCAATATGAATAGATTTTATTCTTTTAATATTCTTTTAGATATTTTAAGAAGATTCTTGATTTTAAAAAATTAAATATTTATAGTTAATTAACAGATTATCAAGTACACATATACAGATACACACCCATACAAAATGAGGTGGGGATACCAATAAATTGTATATGCATGACTTTTCATCAGCCTTTCCCCAATACCTTTTAGTTTTACCAACAAATCCCTCTGTTTTGTGTAAAATATCATAGATTTCCACCTTCCTCAAAAAGAATGGGTGGACTTAACTGGCAAAAAAAAATGCCGTAAAGATCGTTCTTGAGACTTGACATGTTCAACATTAAAATAGGTCACATTTGCAAAATCTATAAAATGTTCTAACAAAATATTCTACTGAAAACCTAGGCCTGAACAGTTTTAAGATTTAACATTTCTTTAGCACTTAACATTCTCTAAAGTATGCCTACGATGTTTTATTTATTTTCTTCTAAGTAAAATCACACCCAGTTGGAGATTGTTAAAACTTGTCATTTTCCTCGTCTATTTTTGTTAGTTAAAATCTCTCCCCAAAAACCTGCTCATGCCACATATCTAAATGTGTTTTATGCTATTTTTTCTTCTCTGCCTACTCTATACTGACAAATTACCTTTTCCTTACATATTTAAACAGCTTTTATTGCCGATTTTTCTCCATTCTTCACATGCCTCTTTTGCTATAAATAGCGACACGTGACTTTTAATACAGACGGGAGACAACTCTTAAACTTTGACCCAAATTCTTGCTAAATAAAAATACTTTTATTAACACCCAAAAATCAAAATAAAAAACACCGGGGCGGGACATTTTGAGAGGGGCGGGTGGGGATGAGAATCTAAAGATTAATTTTATCTGGCCTAAAAATTGCATTTTATTTCATGATTTGTCCAATTTGATGAATTTCAGGAAAACTACTTTGTATATCGGAAGTTTCTTCTTGAGCGCTGTTTTGCTTTTTGTTTTCATTGTCTATTTATAGTCACTGAGGAGATCATAACGCCTATAGCCAGGGCTATGCTTTTAGCAAGCCCTGATAAAAATTGTTTACAGATAGACAGATGGACAGACAGACAGCTAGACAGACACCTTACTACATGTATCACATCTGGTCTCCGAATAGTTACAAATGCTAAGAGCTAAAATTGTGCATATTGCGAATTCGCTACATATAGTTGTACAAATTCGTTATATGGATATAACGAATTACGTATATAGCGAAGTAAATTCACAGGTCCCTAGGAATTCACTATAACCAAGTTTTACTGTATAATTTGAACAAACTCGAATCCCCTTTGCTGAAGCAGACTCTGTACTAGGTTTAATTAAAACTGACTAAGTGTTTCAATGACAGCAACAGACATTTTTTTTTAAACAGAAAAGCTCACTTGAGCCTTCCACTCAGGTCAGCAAGAAATCACTTTGGACTTTCGTTTGATTTTCAGATTTTTCTTTAATTTTTTGACATATTTATCACATTATATGTTATAAGTCAATATTTAAAAGAAATCAAATTGAACAAAAATTGCATGTTACTGCACCTTTACTCTTTGTATGGTCATAAATCATAATACAAGGTTAGTATGTACATTTTTAACTTTTTAAAAGAGTAAGAAAATAACTTACTTACATTGGCACCATTACGTATCAAAATAAGAAGACTTTCCACATCAGAGACCATACATGCACAATGTAGAGGAAGAACTGTGCCATGAAGATGATTGACATCTGCTCCTAAATTAATGAGCTCTTCAATGCTTTCAGAATCTTCATAGACTCCATAACTGTGCCAGCTAGATATACTTCGAATTAGGCGTTCTGATAAATCCAGCATTGTCTGAGTTTTCTCCATAATATACCACATACTAGTTGTAACCTATATCAGAAAATGGATCTAAAGAATATAAATACATTTTAATTACATTTTATATTTAAAGGATACATGTACAACTTTTTCAAATTTAAGCATTGCATGTTTACATACAAAAATTGGTAACTGTGGTAAGTTGATAATGTGTCAGCAACTAGATGGCGAAGATTGTGTACTTAGGGGACTAAGACAATTCTTTTTGACAGATTAATAGTTTTCAAATTAGAAAAAAATAATTTAACTATAATCATATTTTATTTACCATTGTGACACTCTATGCACATGTTAAAAGAGCCTGGGTGTTATAAAGAAGAATGATTATACCCTCATAGAATGATGACCGTGGGTCATTTTTCGGCGGCGAAAAATGACCCCTCCCCCCCCAGTCATTATTCTGCGCCAAAAAAAGACCCCCTATCATTATTCGACGTCGAAAAATGACCCTTTTGCTTGTAGAAAAAGTGTCATCACCCTAAAAATTTGCATACCCACGTGAGGAAAATTGACCCCCGTAGAATAATGACCCCTAGTGGATAAAGTAGAAATTTTTAGGGGATATTATTTCTATAATATTGAAGAGTACCCAGCTCTTTTTCCCAACTCCTCCTATACCTTGGAATAAATTTATAATGATACTTTCACAGATTCTTTATAATATAATGCCATTGTGACCTCCTGTTTTACTTTTTTACATGACGATCATGTCGTGCTCCCCAGAGAAAAGCATAAACTGACTTTGCCTTAATTTATAATCATATAGAAGGCCGGTGAGGGATTACTTATAGTGATCTCAGTGCTCAAGTTATCTGTAGCATACAGAGAAAGACTTATGAAAATTATGAGTATATAGCTAAGATATTAGTGATGGGGAATCGGAAAAAAATCAGAATCGATTATCGGTAATAATCAGCTGGGCATAATCCACTATTAATCGATTATAATCGAAATTTTGAACTTTAATGAAATTAATATAGAAAAGTTAAAACTTATTCAGATTTCTGTCAAACTTTTACAAAACAAGAGGCCCATGGGCCACATCGCTCACCTGAGAAGCTTTGACCATTTCGTTCTTTACCAGATTTCCCCCTTGTAATACATATTGTGACCCCACCCTACCTCACTGATCATAATTTAGACAATTTGAAATCTACACTACCATAGGATGCTTTGATTCCCCATTGTAAAACTTTGATTCCCCATTGTGGCCTTGCCCAACCCCCAGGGGTCATGATTTTAACAATTTAAAATCTACACTACCTCAGGATGCTTCCACATAAGTTTCAGCTTTTCTGGCCCAGTGGTTCTTGAGTAGAAGATTTTCAAAGATTTTTCCTATATCTTTCAATGTAAAACTTTGATTCCCCCTTGTGGCCCTGCCCTACCCTCGGGGGTCATGATTTGAATAATTTAGAATCTACACTACACCAGGATGCTTCCACACAAGTTTCAGCTTTTCTGGCCCAGTGGTTCTTGAGTAGAAGATTTTTCCCATATATTTCTATATAAAACTTTGATTCCCCATTGAGGCCCCACCCAACCCCCGGGGGTCATGATTTGAATATTTTAGAATCTACACTACCTCAGGATGCTTCCACCTAAGTTTCAGCTTTTCTGGCCAAGTGGTTCTTGAGAAGAAGATTTTTAAAGATTTTTCCTATATATTTCTATGTAAAACTTTGAAACCCCTGGGGGTCATGATTTGAACAATTTAGAATCTACACTACCTCACGATCCTTCCACATAAGTTTCAGCTTTTCTGGCCAAGTGGTTCTTGAGAAGAAGATTTTTTAAAGATTTTTCCTTAATATTTCTATGTAAAATTTTGATTCCCCATTGTGGTCCCGCCCAACCCCCCGGGGTCATGATTTTAACAGTTTTAAATCTACACTACCTCAGGATGCTTCCACATAAGTTTCAGCTTTTCTGGCCTAGTGGTTCTTGAGAGGAAGTTTTTTTGATGACCCCACCCTATTTTTGTCTTTTCTTGATTATCTCCCCTTGTGAGTGGACTTGGCCCTTCATTTTAACAATTTAAATTCCCCTTCACCCAAGGATGCTTTGTACCAAGTTTGGTCAAAATTAATCCAGTGGTTCCTGAGAAGAAGTAGAAAATGTGAAAAGTTTACAGACATACAGACGGATGGACGGATGATGGACAAAAGGGGGAATACTATGGGAGCCAGTCAAAGCGCCCCCTAATAAAAACGTCCCGATCAAAGTCTCCCCTAACTTTAGTCAAAGCGTCCCCTGATTTTAGTCAAAGCGCCCCCTAACATATTTTTATAGAAAAAATACCGCCCCCAAATATTGGTCAAAGCGCCCCCTGGTTTGGGTCAAAGTGCCCCCTAACATATTTTTATAGAAAAAATACTGCCCCCCAAATATTGGTCAAAGCGTCCCCTGATTTTAGTCAAAGCGCCCCCTGATTTTGGTCAAAGCGCCCCCTCACAAATACATATTTTTTACAGAATTTTTTTTTTTATAGAAACAATCTTTACTGTCCGCAAGAAATGGTCAAAGCGTCCCCTGGTTTTGGTCAAAGCGCCCCTTCATATATTTTTACAAGGAAAAAAACGTTTCGAGTCGATCCCAAAGCAATGGTCAAAATGTCCCCTGATTTTGGTCAAAGTGCCCCCTATAGAATTAACTGCCAAACAATGATATTATAAATACAAAACAGTTTTATTCCGTAACATGTTTCTAAAAATATTAGGGGGCGCCGGCCTTGACCAAAATCAGGGGATGCTTTGACCAAAATCAGGGAGGTTTTGACCTTGCTTCCCAGACAATTTTTCCTCAGAAAAAAATGTTAAGGGGCGCTTTGACCAAATCAGGGGACGCTTTGACCAAAATTAGGGGACGCTTTGACCAATATTTGGGGGCGGTTTTGTAACATCATTTTACTGTAAAATTCTATACGGGGCGCTTTGACCAAAATTAGGGGACGCTTTGGGGGCACTTTGACCAAAATCAAGGGACGCTTTGACCAATATTTGGGGGCGGTTTTGTAACATCATTTTACTGTAAAATTCTATAAGGGGCGCTTTGACCAAAATTAGGGGACGCTTTGACCAAATTAAGGGGACTCTTTGACCAAAATCAGGGGACGCTTTGACCGGGACGATTTTATTAGGGGGCGCTTTGACTGGATTCCCCTGCAAGTCAACACCGAGCAGCCGAGGCCTTATCAGTTTTTTTCAACTTCTTGGAAGTGAAATGTCTCAAAGATCACGCTATTTCTGACTGTGGCAAAGTAGAATGAGAGTTTCAACATCAGACTCAAACTGACAATTAGTACTGTAGTCTGTACAACTTACATAGAGTCAGCAGGTGGTTGGCCATCTTAACACAATATGAACACCAGGTCACGTGATCCTCAAATATCAACAATGTCAGCAGAGGTGCGTTCATAGTTCTGTTGTTGGTAGACAAAGTTGCTGTTGGTAAAATTAATTACCATTGGCATGCCAGTGGTACTGATGTTTTTTGCCAATGGTATATTTTCTGCAGACGATCTATATGTGGTAGTTGGCTAGATAGAATGTTCTATCGTTAAAATGATATTGTCCTACGGACCCGGTTTAAGGCGAGGTGGTGAGGGCTTGTACCGAGACACAGTTAGATTATTCTAACTAGTAGTTGGCATGGGCGTCGGAAGCAAATTGAAAGTGGAAGGGGGGGCTAATCGAAAGGGGGGGGGGGGGGGCTAAACCAACAAAAAAGGTAAATCCCAATTTCCAATGCCTAACGTTACATAATGTCTATTTTTGCAAAAAAAAGTGGCGGGGGGGGGGGGGGGGGGGCTTTACCCTGGTTCCGACGCCTATGGTTGGTAAATGCACAGGAGTCGGCAATTTTGTCAATAAATAGAAAATAAATAGTAATCAGGCATAAATCCTACAAATGAGTTTCGCGAGCGTATTGAGGGCTCGCGAAGCTCACTGGTAGGATTTATGCCTATTTACCTTTTATTTTCTAATCATTGACAAAATTGCTAACTCCTGTGGTAAATGATGTCACAACTAGTTATCGAAGACATCAGTTGGATCCCGGATTCGTGGAGACGATTTTTCCTCAAATCATGCCAAAATCACATAAAAATTCATAGTTTCCAAACTCACAAATTAATGATTTTGAAGTATGGTTTAGACATGATTCATTAAATGGATCATACAAAACTCATAGATGAAAATAAGAAAATGTGATCCTGATGTGGTTTGTTTCTTGGCTATAAGTCTGCTATGATTTTCTTGCGATCTAGCTGGACATGATTGTGCCATTACATGTTACTTTGAAGAAACAGAAATCTGTAAATCATTATTACCAACGTTTCTTTTGGACTCCTATTAGTAAAATTGGTAAAGAGGGTGTTGCAGTTCTTTTGTTATTTTCCCTAAATGTGTAGCAGATTAAAAGAAGAATTTTTATGTTGCAGATTAATGCAGACACTCATATGAATTTTTTTAAATGCAACAATATGTAGAAGTTCGGGCTTTACGGACCGTGGATATCGGCCTGGATAGCTCAGTGGTTATAGCACCTGACTAGTAATGCAGGGGTCCCGGGTTCGATTCCCGGTTCAGCCATATGTTTTCTTCGTGCATTTCTCCTTTCCTACTACAATTGGTGGCCAGTGTGGGGGGCCTTGTTCAGGTTACAGTGTATGTGTAAATTAGTAATTCCTGACAGGGCCCTAGAATCGCGAGTTTTTGCTACACCCTCTTTAAGTATTATCAACGTTTCCATTAGACTTCCGTTGGTAACATTGGTAAAATCGATATATTTGTATGCCAATACCTGTTCATGGTTTACTGGTACCATTGTCAAATTATTGCACCAATGGTATACTAGTAATCTATGGCAGATTGGCAGCGAAGATATTTCGTTTATTAGAGTCACCCCTAAGATGGCTATACCTGGACCGTTCCTGGTAATGAGTGAAGTTTCCTCACTAGTAATAACACTTCAGATGAATTCTACTACAATTTAAGGGAAAATATTATTATCTCTACATAGCATTACAAATTTCAAACAAATGATCACTTTGTTTTGGCAAAAGAATATCACCTGAAGTTTTCATATAAAGTTATGAGGGGTTATCAAAAAGTTCGTGGACTGAGGCTATAAAATTAGTACTTTGTAGTCTGTGCTTTCAAAATTTATATGGAACATAAAACAACAAAAAATGAAGAAATGTTGAAAATTTTAGCCTGATACGTTCATTAGATTTTTATTTCCTAAGAACCGGAATATGATAAAGACTTTGAAAATATTAGTAATATTTCAATGAAAAAAACAAATATAGACAAGTCACATTCAGTAAAGGTTTACAGGTGAAAACAAATTTCAGAATATGTTATCTTGGTGCTAAAAGTGTAATATAAACTTAGGAAAAATATACCAAGCCAGGTGAATTTTATTAGGAAAAGCAAAATGGTAAAAATCAGCGTATGTGATATTGTTAATGTTTTGTCATTTTGTACTTCCTCTTAAAATTCACCTGGCTTGGTACATTTTTCTAAAGTTTATATTACACTTTTAGCACCAAGATAATATATTCTGAAATTTGTTTTCACCTGTAAACCTTTACTCAATGTGATTTGTCTATATTTGTTTTTTATTGAAATATTACTAATATTTTCCAATTCTATTTCATTTTCCAGTTCTAAGGAGTAAATTTTCTAAGAATTATCCGCTTTTCTAAACTTGTGACATGATATTAAATCTTTTTCAAAGAAAAAAATTGTTTGTATCATCTGTCCTTAAAATTTCATTAGGTCTACACCAGTTTTTTAAGGCGCGAATGGAATAGAATGTTGAAAAAGGAAACCCCTCCCCCTTTTGACTTCATTTTCAAGGTCTCATTTGTTTGGACATTCCATGTACGATAGAATTTCATAGAACTTCCAGAATGAAGTGAAATTTTCATATTTTATGGAACAATTCTGTCCCGACACATAACTGAATTAACGTGATTTTTTGTTTGTCAAATGTTCATATCAAAGAGTTTTTTCTCTGTTACACATAGGTCGCAAAAATGTCGTGTTCGAGGTTGTGCCGCCTGGACATACCATTGCTTACAAAAACAATATTAAGGGGGATGTACAAGCCATATTGGATCTAGTCTGGTGTAACATAAGAAATACCAAGAATGCGCTAAATACTCTACTAAACTAGCCCAAAGTTACTCAAAGTGCTAATGCACTAATTACCTACTGTTAGAGACCAAAATTAGTAAATAACTAAGTTTATTTTGTTTTAATTAGGAGGAAATTAATCATGTTAGAACTGCGCAGCTACAGCATTCACGAGATGAAAAATGCATTGAAAATGGTGTTAGTTCGATTCATTGATAATATGGCTACAACCATTTGTTTCGCTTTTTTCTTGTCATTATCCATAATTCTTGAAAATTTGATTTTTCATATGGGTGTGTTCCTGAGGCCATGTGTTTATTTCGTCCGCCATTCCTCTGTCACACAGAGTTCGAATAACATTGATTTTAGAATAAATGCGACCATAATAACATCAAGACAAGAACTTATCAAGTAATAATCATTAGGTTATATTACTTACTACTTTTATTTGTTGCATCGCATCGTCTGATTAATGAAAAAACGCGAATTTAAACCCACTCCAGCAAATCGGGAAAAACTGTTCTGTTTATAGCTCGAGTTTCCTCGTTAATATCATTCCACTGAGCACGTGGTTGGCATGTGCATATATCTGCTGTGCATAGATGCGTTTATTACCACGATTATATTTAATTTTTCATGGAACAAGTCTTGATAATTTATTGGTTTCTTTAGAATTTAAGAAAAAAAATAAAACAAGAGGCCCATGGGCCACTTCGCTCACCTGAGAAGCTTTGACCATTTTGTTCTTTACCTGATTTCTCCCTTGTAATACATATTGCGACCCCACCCTACCCTACTAATCATAATTTAGACATTTTGAAATCTACACTACCACAGAATGCTTCCATGTGCACATAAGTTCCAGGTTTTCTGGCCCAGTGGTTCTTGAGAAGAAGATTTTCAAAGATTTTTCCTATATATTTCTATGTAAAACTTTGATTCCCCATAATGGCCCCACTCTACCCCCGGGGGTCATGATTTTAACAATTTAGAATCTACACTACCCCAGGATGCTTCAAAATAAGTTTCAGTTTTCTGGCCCAGTGATTCTTGAGAAGAAGATTTTCAAAGATTTTTCCTATATATTTTTAAGTAAAACTTTGATTCCCCATCGTGGCCCCGCCCTACCCCCGGGGGTCATGATTTGAACAATTTAAAATCTACACTACCCCAGGATGCTTTCACATAAGTTTCAGTTTTTCTGGCCCAGTGGTTCTTGAGAAGAAGATTTTTTAATGACCCCACCCTATTTTTGTCTTTTCTTGATTATCTCCCCTTGTGAGGGGTCTTGGCCCTTCATTTTAAGAATTTAAATTCCCCTTCACCCAAGAATGCTATGTGCCAAGTTTGGTCAAAATTGGCCCAGTGGTTCTTGAGAAGAAGTCGAAAATGTGAAAAGTTTACAGACGGTCAGACGGACGGACAGACAAACAGACGGACGGACGACGGACAAAATGTGATCAGAAAAGCTCACTTGGGCATTCGGCTCAGGTGAGCTAAAAATGTCCTTAATATATGTGTTTTCGTCGGGTCTTTTTTCTGTGACGATAGAAGTTATTTTCAAATGGGGCACTGCAAGGAGGATGCTTAGCATTTAATTTGAAAATGTTAAACAATATGCGGTGCATGAAAAACAAATTGTAATTACATGTCTTACATTCGAAAAGTTGGTACATATGTCTATTTTGTTTAGCAGTTAGATAGAAAAAATAGGCAGTTATAGGATTTCCTTCAGGCACCTCAGATAAATAGTTAGATTGTTTGCAATGACCCACGCATTGTATGGAGTAATGTTTGGACATAAAAACGCATCATGTCTCATTATGTTGACAACGTTGTAAGCTCTCGCTCATTGAACATACGAAGCTTGATAAAATATATTTAGTTGTTTCTTTGAAATTTAAAAGCGAGCACAATGTTTGCAAAGAAAGGTCCACTGCATATGCTATGTCTATCTTCGCAAAAAAAAGTGAGAGGCTAAACCCCCCCCCCCCCCGAAAATCCTATGTTTGTTTTTCAAAATAGTGCTAAAGATTCAAAATTTTTGCATTACTAAGTATGTGATGGAACATGTACTAGCCTTATAAGACCACTTGTTATAAAAATATTTGGTTGCCCTCTCTCCCGATCTACTGCCTAGAAACGGCTCGTCTCAATTTTTTTTATATCCCATTACACGATTTTTTTTCTTCCGTCAACAAATATGTTTAAATTTTAAGGAATTGTTTTCTCACCTATAAATACGGACCCAATATTTTTTCCCTGAGTTGGGAGGACCACCAAACGTCATTTTAAAGATGGTATAATATATTAAATTATGTTGATTTTTTTTTCTTTACTTTGTAAAATTGTAATTTTGACAATATGGACAAATAGAAAAAAAAGGTTTTTTATTCATTAAATCTCCTAACCCACTCTGAATGATTTCATTCCTTTTCAAATGTTGCTGCGCTGTAATGAAAATTGTAAATGTTTATTTGACACAGTATACGAGGGGTGATCAAAAAGTAAACGATATCTTAGGTATTTGATAGTTATATTATTGTTGAAACATTCAAATATTTTTCAAAGTGTAAATTGGAGGTCTTTGATAGCATATTGCTTAATTAAAAACACATCCCTTTTCAAACTTGCTTTTACCGGGCAACATAAGTATTATATTTAACCATCTGCCTTCCTTCACTAAAACGATCTATCCAATCATTGATTGAAATTATAGGAAGTCATTTGTCTAATTAAACTGTGAACAAATTCTTAAACGCTACTTCAAAGGCATTTCTAAGATATACCATAAATATTATAGTCGTTTGTTGAACGAGTTCCACTGAGACAACCATTTGTCGTCACAAGTACCTGCATAATGACGTCATTTTCTAATTGTGACGTCACAAACAAGGAGCAAAACTTTATTCAGCATATGCTATTTATAGAACTTGTGTTTGGCTATGTGTACACCAAATTTGTTTCTAATCTGAATTGTGGTTTTGTAGATATAGAGATAGTTCGCGAACTTTTTGATTACCCCCTCGTTCTAGTAGGTACTAAAACAAGGTCATTCATATCGATTTTTTGTGTCTAATTTCCTAGTGTTTCATTGGTGATAATTAAATTTTGATAGATAATATAAGTTATCTATGGCAAACTTACAAACTTTTAATTTTTAACTTTGATAGTGCTCATTTTTCCTTACCTGGAATCAAGAGTTTAAGATTTTTTTTATATCAATACGTACACTATTTAACACCTGTTCGATAATAATACTAAATAAATTACTTCAAGCCACACTATAACACATTTCCTCTTTTAAAAGTGTTCATATTATTTTAAAAATATTTTGCAACTGTAATTCTCTTCTACATTTAAAGATTGTTATGTCCCTCCATATTAGAAAGAGGTCTGGAAAACAAAATTCTGTGCTAAAAATAGATCACGTGCTGCTATCCATGAACTACTTTCGTGGTTCTTTACACTCTTTTTGAAGACAACGGTACCTTGTTTTGAACTTGAAATTATCATTTAAAAGTGCAAAATTTAGACATTTTCTCAACAAATGGTTGTAGAGAGAACATCAATGCACATTTTGCATATTTTTTTGGATTTTGTAAGGCTCTGCTGAATTCTGTAGCTGAGCAGTTCTAAGGAGCATATCAAAAGCATTTTTCTGCAAAAGTATAGATTATATATGCACAACATGCATTCAATTATGTATATTTATTGTATCTTTATCATAAGAACTTAAAATGTGATCAAAATATAATGTATTTTAGCCATTTGAAGAAATGTTTACATTTTGTTCTCACTGCACTAAAGGTGGTCGGACATCCCCCTTAATTCATTAAAAAAAAATGATGATTCATGGTTTATTCTTTAGATAGAAAAGATTATGCTAACTAGATACAGTGTATTTTAAAATTCATTGATGTGCCTAAAGCGGTTTTAATTTTATGGCGCTAGTCCACGAACTTTTTGATAACCCCTCGTATGTCCATAAAAGTAATTTATTTTGTTTAAGGAGTGCAACAAACAAACTTCTTATTGAATTTGTTATTTTTGAAAATGGTGTAAAAATCAACCATTATTTACCATTAGTAACCAAGTGTTACCATTATTCACTTTTGACAACCACTGGTACAGCCTTTGGTTGTTTTGTCATTAGTTTACCAATATGCAGTTCACAGTTTATAGGCAACCAATTGTACCATTGTTCAACACTGGTGCCAAAGACAAACCAATGGCAAATCGATATCTGTACCAATGGAAGAATTGTGAACGCACCCACAGAACGTTGTTACTGTCACAGATGTTATATTTTAATTTGTTCACACAATTGGCGCGCACTGCCAATTAAACACGATCGCTGCGTTTGTTTGTGTTGTGTGTCTGTTTGTGAATGTTTGGAGAGATCATGTGACATTGGTTATTTTCTTATTTACACGTGTTTCCGGTTAGGTGATGTAATGTGACCTTACTGCTGACCAATGACTGGCCCATTTCCTCTCTCTCTCCCCCACTCTCCCTCTTCCACACTCTCCACTCCCCCTCTCTCTCTCCCACTCTCCCTCCCACTTCCTCACTCTCTCCCACTCTCTCTCAATCCCCCACTCCCTCTCACCAATCTTCCCACTCCCTCTCACCCCCAATATCCCTACTATCTCTCTCTCTCCGCACTTCCTCTCTCTCTTCCACTCTCCCCACTCCCTCTCTCTCTCCCAACTCTCCTCCCAAACTCCCTTTCTCTCTCCCACTCTCTCCACTCCCATTCTCGCCACTCCCCTCCTCTCTCTCTCTCTCCCACTCATTTTCTCCCACACTCCCCACTCCCTCTCTCTCCCCACTCCTTCCCTCTCCTCTTTCTCCCACTCCCTCTCTCTCCCACTCCCTCTTCAACTCTTTCCACTCCCTCTCTCTCTCACTCTTTCCTATCCTTCTCTCTCCCATCCATCTCCCTCCTCTTTCTCCCACTCCCTCTCTCACCCCACTCCCTTTCTCTCCCACTCTCCCCACTTTGACTTTCTCTCACTTTCCCACTCCCTCTCTCTCAGTCCCCATTCCCCTCTCTCTCCCACTCCCCTCACTCCCTCTCCTTCCCACTCTCCCCAATCCCTCTCTCCCCCACTCCCTCTCAATCCCCCACTCTCTCTCTCTCCCCTAATATCCCTACTCCCTCTCTCCCCTCTCTCTTCCCACTCCCTATTCCCCCAATATCCCTACTCCCCCTCTCTTCCTACTTCCTCTCTCTCCCACTCTCCTCGCTCCCTCTCTCTCCCACTCCCTCTCTCACCCCACTCCCTATCTCTCCCACTCCCCTCTCTCATCCAACTCCCACTCCCTCTCTCACCCCAACCCTTCTCTCTCCCACTCTCCCCACTCCCTCTCTCTCCACTTCCTATCTCTCCCACTCTCCCCGCTACCTCTCTAACCCACTCTCTCAAATCCCTCTCTCTCCTCTTTCCCCCACTCCCTCTCTCACCCCACTCCCATTCTCTCTCACTTTCCCCACTCCCTCTCTCTCAATCCCCCATCCCTCTCACTCCCACTCTCTCTACTCCATCTCTCTCCCACTTCCTCTCTCTCTCTCTCTCTCCCTACTCTCCCTCCCTCTCTCTCCCACTTTCTCTCTTTCCCACTCCCTCTCTCTTCCACTTCCCCTCTTTCATCAAACTCCCTCTCTTTCCCACTCTCCCCAATTCCTCTCATTCTCCCCACTCCCTCTCTCTCTCACTCCCCCACTCCCTCTCACTTTCCTCAATCCCTCTCTCTCCCACTCTTTCCACTCCCTCTCTCTCTCACTTCCTCTCTCTCAACTCTCCCTCCCACTCTCCCCACTCCACCTCTCTCCCACTCTCTCAATCCCCCCACTCCTCTCCTAATCTTCCCACTTCCTCTCTCTCCCAATATCCCTACTCCCCTCTTTCTCTCCCTCCCTACTCTCTCTCTCCCACTTCCTCTCTCTCCCTCCCAACTCTTTTCCCCAACTCCCCTCTCTCTTCTACTCTTCCCATTCCCATTCTCTCCACTCCCTCTCTCTCTCTCTCTCTCTCTCCCAATCTCCCACCTCCACTTTCTTTCTCCCATTCCCTCTCTCTCTCCCCACTCCCTCTCTTTTTTGCGCTCCTCACACCCTATCTCCTTTTTCTCCCACTCCCTCTTTCTCTCCCACTCTCCCCAATCCCTCTCTCTCCCCATCCCTCTCTCCTCTTTCTCCCACTCCCTCTCTCCCTCCGACTCTCCCCACTTCTCTTTTTCACGCTCCCCACTCCCCACTTCCTATCTCCTCTTTCTCCCACTCCCTCTCTCTCCCCACTCTCCTCTCTCCTCTCTCTCCAACTCCCTCTCTCTCTCCCACCACCCTCTCTCTCAAAACTCTCTCTCCCCCACTCCCCCTCTCTCATCTGACTCCCTCTCTCTCTCCCTCTCTTTCCACTCTCTCTCTCTCCCACTCTCACCACTCCCTCTTTCCCCACTCACTCTCTCTCCCCCTCCCCCTCTCTCTTGCCCACTCTCCCCCTCCCTCTCTCTCTCCCACTTCCTCTGTCTTCCACTCTCCCCACTTCGTCTCTCTCTCTCAATCCCCCACTCCCTCTCTTGCCCATTCTCCCCACTACCTCTCTCTCTCACTCTCTCCACTCCCTCTCTCTCCCACTTCCACTCTCTCTCTTCCACTCTCCCCACTCCCTCTCTCTCTCTCCCACTGCATTTAATTTTTACATACATGCTTCAATAACAATATCTATATGCTTACTAGCGTGCAAGTTCGTTAAATGGTTATGTTATTTGTGAAATCTTTGATGAAGCAGTTGTAATAGCCTATGAAATTCATCTGCCTTAGTTGGTCTGAGCAGGTTCAGGACTTTATCTATCTTATCTAGATCTTGTTCTATCCCATCTTTCAAAACAATATTTTATGTATTTTACTCTGTCCTTGAAAAAAGCACACTTCTTACATGAAAGTTTTAACTTGTTTTTCCCTGGGGTACTGGAATACCTTTTCTAATTTTGATCTCTTCAAATTTCTTAAAAATATTAAGAAATCATTCAAATAGATGTAACACTGATGTTGAGATGAAAATTCTTTAAACAATCCTCCATTATTCTTTGACATATTTCTGGGCATTGGCCAATCCAAACGGAATCCTATTGTTTCCACCATTGATGTTAATCTGTAATTTTCTCATAAGTCCTGGTATTGTTTCTGGATGATATCGGAGGCTCTGCGTTCCATGATCCTGGCCTAGTTTTGTCTCTCAATGCCAGCTAAGGTGAGTTTTAAGTTTCTTTCATATGGTCTGTCTTTATCCTGCATCCAGACTGGATATGTCCTTCTTAACCACGGGCAAACCATTTGGTCCAACTGGGTTAGGTTAACTTCCTTGGAGTTGTTGTATGTTATAACTTCTTACTTGACTTCTGTATAAAGTTTGACCTCTTATTGATCCTTGACCTCTATTTGAATCTTGACCTCAGGTCTAAACTTAAGTTGATGTGGTGCAGACTGTCCATAATATGAATTCCGTTCATCTCCAGTGTGGTTGTAGTGTACCTTTCCTAATGAACTGTTGTGGTCTGCTGTATCTCTCATCCTTCAGTTGTTTTACCTCGGCTGTCAGCTTCCCTGTAACATTTGTTTGACTTCATCCATTTCAGATGTGGGCTTGTCTCTATGTATTGCGCTCATCACATTTGAAACCTTACTTTCTTTAACTTATGCTTATTTTTTTTTATCATAATCCTCTACAATAGCTCACAGTTCTGATCTCAGTTCGACCATGCATAGAAATTTGTCTTGTATGAAAATTAATGCATCGTTCAAATCAGATCAAAGTTCTGGGTTCTCATAAAGCATCATGACACAGCATGTTATCCTCTTTTTCACTGCGTCTACTTCTTCTTGAAGGACCGTTTTATTGATAATATTTTCAAGCTGACAACCCCACTCTGATACAGTCTTATTTGCTCCTTGTTCTGCACTGTAGAATTTTCTGATATTGCTAAAATTGAGTATTGCTGAAAATTATTTGTGTTTTATTTGTTATAGCTTCTTAAGTGAGCATTTTAAATTGCTAAAATTACTTCTCGCTAAAAAAAATCAGTTTTAAGGATAAATAACTAGATTTGCATCTTGCTAAAATTTTTACTTAGGTAAAAAAAAAATATAGTCTTGTTTCCTGCTACCAGCCTGAAAAAAAGAATAGGGTAAGTAGGTAGGGAAATTATTTTTTTTTATATGAACTAATTAATACAAGATCAAATAAAACATGTCATAGGTCAATATTGCCTTTTAAAATTAAATTTCATGTCTTTTGATGCACAACTCAAGTGGTATTTTATGAAAGTCCATATTTGAAACATAGAATTTTATGAAATACCACTTTAAAATATATATATATTATATATATGTAAAATATATATATATATTTTTTTCATTTTTGGAACATGAATTTCCAAAAATTTCCATTTCCCCCCTAAAACTAAAAAACTTTAAGGTAGGGTGCAAAACCTATGGGTAGGTTGGGTAGTAAAAAACAAGACTTTTTTTTTTTTGCTTTATACGGTAATAAATAGAGTTCATCTTGAGAATAATTGAGTTTATGGTTGCACTAAGACACCCAGTCTTATGATAACATTAGCAGCTTCTCCTTCACTGATCTTGGAATGGCTTGTAGGATTTGGTCTTCTCTGTACACTTTTCCTTTAGCAAGACACTGGACTTCAGAATGCCATAATTCATAGGATATTTCTAATTTTGATGATCTGGAGAATGTTGAAATTTTTGGTAATCCTGTGTAGTACTTTATAACATCAGTTTGAATTTCAGATTTAGTTTTCACTGTTGGTATTTTAGGTAATATGATCCAGTATATGTATACTAGCAAATCTTTGTGGTCATGTTTGAAGATCCTGAGGTGTATCTGCCTTGGGTTTCAACTTCAAGGCTTAATAGAAGAGTTGATTGATGATGTCATTGGCTTCTTCTGAAATATCATCTCTCATAATGCACTTTTCCAAGAATACACAAACATAGACAGAATTTGAATTTTCAATGTAGTAAATCACTTCAATAGTTCACTCAAATTTATCACTTGAATTGATCAATATATAATTATTGCATGCAGTTGAGTGTAACATTTAAAATTTTCAACCCAAGAAAACCATTGTCAACCGAGGCACAGCCGAGGTTAACAATGGTTTTCTTGGAGTAGAAAATTTTCTATGTTACACTCAACTATATGCAATACAAATACATATAACAGTGAACCGTGTGTGCATAAATTCTGCGCAGTCGCTATTTTTTGGAATATCACCTGTCGTCAAGCACTGTTGACTGTTGCTACACTGGAGGGTGTGGCTTCATTATTCCATGGGTAATAGTGTTTTTTAAAATGTTTCTCAACCAATCAGATCCAACTAATTTACATGAAAGTATAAATTCATCAAATATCATATAGATGATTTAATATAATAGACTGTTTGTTTTGAATATACCTGCTAAAATTTCAAATTAACATCTAAAAGATCAAAATGAAATATACTTGAAAACAAGAGGCCCAGGGGCCACATTGCTCACCTGAGCACTTTGGCTAAGAAAATGCAGAAATCAGTTTAGTACTGCAAAGTTTAGATATTAAAGTGGTTCGGGGAAGTATGATTTGAACAAACTTAAAATCTCCACTTCCCAAGGATGCTTTTGAAACAAGCATTCTGAGAGTATTGCATAAGCAGTACATGTCCCCTACCAGGTTCCCCTTTTCCTTTAGGATATCATTTCATAATATGCAAAAGTTATGTCCAAGGTAAAACTGCTTGATTTTGAGGTTTTGAATGCCTTTAACCTTACAAAATAATCCACATAAAGATGAAAATTCAACTCATTTTTTCAACGTCCTTTTCTTGCTTTATATTTATCATCGGAATTTATCGCAGCACGAACCCAGTCTTAAACCATTATGAAAAATTAAAAATGCCATAATTTTGTCAACAAGAGGCCCATGAGCCACATCGCTCACCTGAGAAGCTTTGACCATGCTGTACTTTACCAGATTTCCCCCTTGTAATACATATAGTGACCCCACCCTACCCCACTGGTCATCATTTGGACAATTTAAAATCTACACTATCCAAGGAAGCTTCCATATAAGTTTCAGCTTTTCTGGCCCAGTGGTTCTTGAGAAGAAGATTTTCAAATATTTTTCCTATATATTTTTAAGTAAAACTTTGATTCCCCATTGTGGACCCGCGCTACCCCCAGGGGTCATGATTTGTACAACTTAGAATCTACACTAATCGTGGCGTAATCATGAATTAGCGGTACAAATGTCCGTGTCTATTTTGTATATCTATAGATGATTTCTTAGCTGTATTCACGAATTAGCTCATGACTTGTCAGTGCCAAAGCCGCTAAAATACGAAACCCGCTTTTTTAAGTACACATACAGTAATCTCCCCTTAGAGGAAGAAGAATCATTTGAAAAAAAAAAAAGAAAATCCACTTCACCCAATGATAAATTGTGGCAAAGTTGGTTGAAAATGGACCAGTGGTTCTTGAGAAGAAGATGAAAATGTGAAAAGTTTAACAATTATGGTGATGATGACAATGATGACAGACAATGGATAAATTTAGATCAGAAAAAAACTTGAGCCTTCAGCGTAGGCGAGCTTAACAAGAAATTGAAATGCAGAACGATTATGCCAAATGAACA